TTTTTTAAGGGGTGTGATAGCTGTGACTCAGACAGTGAGTCTTCAAGACACTCAGAAGTGTCTTCAAGAATAAATCATAATAGCACTGCCTAAAAAGTTTCCTACCTCTAAAAATCCTCACCCCTAAAATTTCCTTACCTAAATTTCCTACCCCTCCTCTACCGAAGTCTTAGAGGGCATTGAATTATAATTTTTTAAAAATGCCTCCTTCCCAATGCACTTTCCTTTTTTTCCTGTGGACAGGGAATGAATTATTAACCTGAGGGAGTTGTTTGTATAATGGGAAGTGATTAACTGTGATTTTCTGGTTGTTAGGGCTCTCCTCCCTAGAATTCTTCTATTCCCCCAGGGATTTTTCAGTACTAAATGGAGCCGTTAGGTACAGACTAGAGTTAGGCCTTTCTCTTGTTACATGTAATTTAGAGAAAGTAACTCATATTCCTAAATGAATATATCCAAAATAAGGAGATAAATGAGCCCAAGCACCTCAAAAGTCAAGTAAAAGACAACAGACTGTGTGTATGTGTGTGTTTTCTTGTTTTACATTGTTAATATCTTTATATATATAGTAGAAGCAAAGGCAGATAGAATACAAAGAAAAGTCTAATAAATTTTCTAAAAGATAAGATACTAACAACATGAAACAAGAACAAAAACTTAAAAGGATCAAAGGGAAATACTAGGTATAAGAAATATAATATATAGAACACAGTTGATGAGATGAAATTAGGATCAATTAAGATGAAGGAGAAATTACTGAGTTGGAAGATCATATTTAGGAATTCTTTCCATAGCAGGAAAGAAAAGATATAATAGGAAGCATACAATAATAAATTAGGAAATAAATGAAATTTAAAAGTAGGAGTTTCTTTTTCCCCTAGATCAGGAACAAGATAAAGATATTTGCTGTTGCCACTTCTGTTCAACATAGTATTGTTACTTCTGGCCAGAGCAATTCAGCAGAAAAAAGAAATGCATCCAAATAGGAAGGGAAGAAATAAAATTACCTCTCTTTAAGATGACATGATCTTATATGTACAAAACCAAAGACTTTGTGGGGAAAAAAAAAGAAAAGCTTTTGGTGCTAATAAATGAATTGAACAATGATCTGAAAATGAAATTAAGAAAACAATTTAATTTATAATAGCATCTAATAGAATAAAATGCTTAGGAGTAAATTTAAACAAGGAGGCAGAAGACTTGCACTATAAAACACTGCTAAGAGAAATGAAAGAACACGTAAATAAGTAGGAAGAACATTCAAGAATTTGGAGACTTAATCTTGTTAAGAAGACAGTACTACCTAAAGTGATCCATTGATAAAATGCAATTCCTATCGAAATCCCAATGATGTTATTTGCAGCAACAGAAAAACCCATTCTAAAATCCATATGGAATCTCAAGGGAGCCCAAACAATCTTGAAAAGGAAGAAGAAAGTTAGATGACTCACAGTTGCTGATTTCAAAAGTTACCACGAAACTACAGAATCAAAAACTGGAACTGGGTAGTGGTGACAGTTGTACAACATGGTGAATATTTTTAATGGTACTGAATTTTATACTTAAAAATAGTTAATATGGAAAATTGTGTTATACTTTAAAGAAAAGGAGAAATGAGGCTGATGCCTGTGAAGTTGGATCAGTGTACTGGAAATTCCCCATGTGGTTGGAGAACTTAGGCATTGAAAGTAATTCTGTGAATGAGCTAGAAGAAGTTGCGTGAGAAGTGGGGTATCTGACTTACTGATCTCAGGTGACATATCAGGTGAAATCTAGATGAGGTAGGTATTCCTCAGTGAATTTGAACTTGGAAGATATAGCAAAATTAAAATTCTAGCCTTGTCATTGTTTTAAATGTAATTTTGTCATATTACTAAAGCTTTCCGAACTTTTGTCTGTTATATATATTGTTAAATGGATAATTAATGTATGCTAAAAATAAAAGGTGCCAGCATTAATGTAGGAAACTTAAAATGACAAAGGAGAAATATTTGAGAAAACAGAATAGAGATTGATGTCTAGAATTAAAGAAAGCTGAAAGATCTCAGATTGAAGAGGACCATATAGAATACAATATAATTAAGAAAAACTCCCACCTGTACACAGTACAGTGAAATTAAAGACTATTAGAGAAGAGTCTAAAGGTGCATAAGTAACATTACAAAGGAACAAAAATGAGATTGACATCATACTTATCAATAGCAGTGTTGACTCAAGATAATGGAATAATTTTTTTTTTAGTATTATAGAAAGTATTGAAAGAAACTATGATCCTCGACATTTCTATCCATACAACTGTCATTCAAATGTGAGGGGATGGTAAAAATATTCCAAAATATGGAAAGGCCAAGGCCTGAGAAGATAAGCTGTACAAAACCCACATGGGAAACATATTTGGAGAAGGAACACAAATGAGTCGAGTATTTGCAAATCCAGCAGATGCTACAAGACATGTAATGTACACATGTAAGACGTATAAATTTAAAGGTGTTGAAATACCCAAGTAGAAGTTGTTGTCTTTAAAAATTTAGCTAAGAATAAAGAAAAAAATAGAAGTATATCTGTAAAACTTGATGGGAATTGAGTGGAGGAGAGATTAGAGGACATGAGGGCATGGTAGAGTTCTTGTCTTGATAAAAGGAAATATAGATGATGAATTTACTTATCTAAAAGAAAAGATTTGGCTGGGCACGGTGGCTCAAGCCTGTAATCCCAACACTTTGGGAGGCCGAGGCGGGTGGATCACGAGGTCAAGAGATCGAGACCATCCTGGTCAACATGGTGAAACCCCGTCTCTACTAAAGGTGCAAAAAATTAGCTGGGCATGGTGGCGTGTGCCTGTAATCCCAGCTCCTCAGGAGGCTGAGGCAGGAGAATTGCCTGAACCCAGGAGGCGGAGGTTGTGGTGAGCCGAGATCGCGCCATTGCACTCCAGCCTGGGTAACAAGAGTGAAACTCCGTCTCAAAAAAAAAAAAAAGAAAAAGAAAAAGAAAAAAGAAAAGATTTTAAAAGAAGCATAGAAAAAGCAAAGGACAGGTTGAAATAAACTTGTCAGTTAAAAGGCAGAGATTGATATAAACAATCCAACTATATGTTCTTTTTTTTTTTTTTTTTTTGAGATGGAGTTTCGCTCTTGTTATCCAGGCTGGAGTGCAATGGCACAATCTCGGCTCACCGCACCCTCCACCTCCTGGGTTCAGGCAATTCTCCTGCCTCAGCCTCCTGAGTAGCTGGGACTACAGGCACACGCCACCATGCCCAGCTAGTTTTTTGTATTTTTTTTTAGTAGAGACGGGGTTTCACCATGTTGACTAGGATGGTCTCGATCTCTCGACCTCGTGATCCACCCGCCTCGGCCTCCCAAAGTGCTGGGATTACAGGCTTGAGCCACCGCGCCCGGCCTATATGTTCATTTTTTAACAGCAGATACCATAAATCACAATTTAGAATTCTACACATGGAAGGAGCATGGATGAGCAATTATGAAAATTGCGGATCCCAACAATGCTTTTGCTTATGTGGATTATATCTACCAATAGTTACAATATTAGAAATTAAAACAAAAAATTTAAAAATATTTATTGATTAACTGATCAATAATTGATTAACATCTATTAATATAGCAACAACATACCCCTTGTGTGTTAACATAATATAAAGCGTGTTGTAAAAGTAACTATTTTCCAAAACAACAAAGAGCCTAGAAGAGTTTCATTGTTTTAAGCACATTTGCTTTGCAAATCTGTTTTTTGTTTTTTTGTATTTTTGAGACTGAGTTTCACTCTTGTTGCCCAATGGCATGATCTTGGCTCACTACAACCTCTGCCTCCTGTGTTCAAGCAATTCACCTGCCTCAGCCTCCTGAGCAGCTGGGATTACAGGCATGCACCACAATGTCTGGCTAATTTTGTATTTTTAGTAAAGATGGAGGTTTCTCCATGTTTGTCAGTCTGGTCTTGAACTCCTGACGTCAGGTGATCCACCTGCCTCAGCCTCCCAAAGTGCTGGGATTACAGGTGTGAGCCACTGTGCCTGGCTGCAAATCTGTTTCATGTCTGGCTTAATAGAAGGTACTTGGGTTCTAGGCCAGGCGAGGCAACTTATGCCTGTAATCCCAGCACTTTGGGAGGCTAAGATGGGTGGATCACCTGGGGTCAGGAGTTCGAGATCAGTCTGACCAACATGGTGAAACCCCATCTCTTAAATAAAAAAAATAAAAAAAAATAAAAAAAAAAAGCTAGTTGGGTTCTCTTATCTGCTTCTATGTTCACTGCCTTGCAAAGTGTTATTTTGTTTCAGGTATGAGAAGCCTAGGACCTTGCGAATCTTTTGAAAGGGCCTTGGAAATCCTCGGTGATCTTGAGACCACACTTTGAGAATGGCTTTTTCCATACAAAGTTTCTTAGCTATTTATTAAGCTCTTATTTGGTGTCTTCTGTATCATCACAGTAGTTATGAGATCTTATGATCTCATATTCCCTCCTACCTCCCAGTTTTATTATTTCTTACCTTACGTTCTCTTCCAGTCTGACTGATTCTTTTCCATCAAGCCTTCACTGATAATTCTAGTTTCTGTCTCTTCTCTAAAATCTGTTTGCAAGTGTAGTTTGACATACTTTCTACTAAAGTCGTCTTTCTTTTTTTAGTGTTTTCTTTTTCTGGTGACATTATGGCCCTTTTAAAGTAGGGACTCTAAAAATTGATGACAACACAGGAATTTATCCTTACACACACAAATATTTGTATCTCAAAGGTAATTTTTGTTGGTTGATTGGAAGTAACTCTCTAGGAGAACATATAGATCACAAAATTGTTTTTGTCCTTAAGTGGTTTACTAGAAAACTATAATGTCTTATCCATTATCTGCTATATAGTAATACTTTTGGTATTGCAGATCCTCCTTTCTTCAAGAGATCTTGTATAACTAAAACCATCTTTTGTTTAGGAGTGTTGATCTTATAAGCCACTTAATGATTTACTTATTTTCTTGCCATTTCAGAAAAAAGCCAAAGGACAAGAGTTGTTTGATCAGATTATGTACCACCTGGACCTTATTGAAAGCGACTATTTTGGTCTGAGATTTATGGATTCAGCACAAGTAGCAGTGAGTAACTGTTTTATTTGGATGTTTTAGCATAAGGGGAAGAAATGAGAAATTTCAGATGATATATTGATTGCTATATTCTTGATATATTCAGTATATTCTTGATGTGTTATTTCCTGTGATACAAAGCTTTGACACTCCCCGCACCCCCTACCTTGCTTTAGCGTCACCTGAAGTACTTGTTAAAAAAAAAATGTGAGTTCTGGTCCTAACTTGAATTACAAGAACAAAATTTTTGAGGATGGGGCTCTAGAATCTTTGTTTGCTTTTTAATAACTATTGACTTGATTGTTGGGCACATAGGAATTTGAGAAGCACTGTGTAATGGAAAGAATGCTAGAATGGGGGTTTTGTGGGCTCTTGCATAAATGGTAGTTATTTTTACTTTGCAAATTAAGGTGAGTAAACTAGGATATCTCTATGTTCCCTTTCAGATCTGTGATTCTGTATCTATAAATAGTGGCACTTTGATGTGCATTTCTGATGAGAGAACAGCATAGATAATAGAGTAGAAAGTTGGAGACTGTTCAGATAACTGATTATTAGAATTTTACTGGAGGATGTTTGAAAGAAAGTAGCAGATGAAAACATTGGGAGGTGGTTTAGTGGTTATGTCATTCAAATTGATTGTCCAAAGTATTAAATACTAAATTTGACAATATTTACTCTCAAATAATTGTGATTAGGTAGTCTTCAAGCAGGGAGGTTATATTTTCCTTCAGGAAGTTTTATGTAGAGATATGTAGGATTTGGAATGAGCAGAGATAGAAGTCAGGAAAAGTTACTACAAATACTTTAGGATAAAATTAATACTAAGGCCTGGACAGTAGCAGGCAGAGGAAGAGACTGACCACAGATGATAAGGGTAACATGACGTTAAGCCTTTTTTCTAGAAATTTGGGGTGCGTGCGTGTGCATGTGCGCGCGTGCGTGTGTGTGTGTGTGTTTGGAGAGGAACTCCTAGCTGGCTTTATAAAGCATCTGGGCTAAGTTTACAGCTGTTAATAATTTTAGCTGTCGTTTTTTCCTGACAGTCCTCCCCATCATGCCACCAAATTAAGTAACCATGAGCATTTGGCAACACGTTGTTTGTTAGGCAGATTTTGGCACATTGTTGCAATTAATACTATGTAGCTTCTTAAAAATGGTGATTTTTGGCTGTGCGTGGTGGTTCATGCTTATAATCCCAGCACTTTGGGAATCTGAGGTGGGAGGATTATTTAAGGTCAGGACCAGCCTGGCCAACAAGGCAAAACCCTGTCTCTACTAAAAATACCAAGCATTAGCCAGGCATGGTGGCATGTTCCTGTAGTCCCAGCTACTTGGGAGGCTAAGGTGGGAGAATTGCTTGAACCCAGGAGGCAGAGGTTGCAGTCAGCCAAGATTGTGCCACTGCACTCCAGCTTGGGCAACAGAGTGAGACCCTGTCTCAAAAAAAAAAAAGAATTTTATTAAAAAAAAAATAAATAACCAGGTGTGGTGGTGCATGCCTGTAGTTCCTGCTAGCTGGGAGGCTGACTGAGGCAGAAGGACCCCTTGAGGCCAGGAATCTGGAGTTGGAGGCTGCAATGCGCTGTGATTGCACCATTGTACTTTCAACCTGGGTGACAAAGTGAGACCCTATTTCTAAAACAAACCAAAATGGTAATCTTTAAGTGTTAATATACTAATTGATACAGAGTGGTAGAAATAGTCATAAAGGATTACAAAGCAATGTAATTGAATTTTTCTATGTTTAAAAAAATCTGGGCCAGGAGCAGTGGCTCATGCCTATAATCCAGCACTTTGGAAGGCTGAGGAGGGAGGATTACTTGAGGCCATGAGTTTGAGACCAGCCTGGGCAATATTGTAAGACCCTGTCTAAAAAAATAAAAATAAAAAATTAGCTAGGCATGGTGTACATGCCTTTAGTCCTAGCTACTTGGGAGATGGAGGATCACTTGAGCCCAGGAGTTGAAGGTTGCAGTCAGCTATGACTGTGCTACTGCACTCTAATCTGAGTAACAGAACAAGGCAAGACCCTGCCTGTCTCTTAAAAAAAAGATATATGGACATGCATAGCATATACATGAAAAAATTGTGAAGCTGTTTTTCATAGTTTTAGAGTTTCTGGTCTCTTGGTCATGTTAGTGTGGGGGATGTTTCTTTTATTTTTCTTTCTAATGTTCTTAATTCTGTTTCATTAGACTAAATTCACTAATGGACTAAATTCACTAATGGTAGAGAATGAGTCGTACGTACCTCTGTCCAGCAGGTAGTAGACACACAAAACATTTGTTGAATTTAATTCTGTACTTCCATTTAGTTTGATAAAGGTTTGGTTGCCTGTTAATTTTAATATAATTCAGCTTTCACTTCCAGAATAACAATAAAGTCTTACAATTAGATGAATAAATAGATGATATTAAGGATAAACAATTTATGACTTCCTGTTTTTTGAGGCAGTATGAGGGAAAAAAAGGCAAAAGTATGCCTCATTTAGGTTTGAGGTACTTAATATTTTAAGTAATTGTAGGAAGAAGCACGCAGTCATTACTAAGTTGTATTATTAGCTCTTTGCTAATATCTGCAATTTCCGAATTCCATATTGATATTTTTTCTCATTTGATACGCATATAGTGCCTTTCTTATCATAATAATAAATTTTTGGTAAAGCTAGGATTGGGATATTTAATCCCTCCTCTTTAGTTCTAGTTTATTCCTTCCAATAATCAGAAACTTAGGCATTAAAATTAAACTTGCAGGCCTGCTTTTACTTCATTTTATTTTTGCTTCACTAAAATACTCTAAATTATGAGTTGAACTGGAAGAACAATTGGTAAATATATTAAAAATGAACTTTAGATAAGCTAAACTTTTCAAGTTCTAATTCACCTGATTCCATGATAGTCTCATGACATAAGCAAACAAAGAATCAGCTTGTTGTGTGGACTTATTCAACCTCAGGGTAAAACGAAACCAAAATGGGGTGGTGGGGAGCATAAAAAGTGACCAAGGAATTACATGTTGATTTCACCTTCAGCATATGGCATGTCCATATATGTAAAATTAATGTGCCAAATTTTAGTATATGGGTTACTGTAGATTAGCCCATAACATCTATGACTAAAGAATTATGGAGTCATCATGGAGATAACCAAAATTAGTAAATCAGTGAGGCCAAAGTTCACTTTTCTTATATAGACATCTAATCTGAGTTCCATTTTTTAAATTGTTTACTTTTTATTAGACTGGGTCATTCTATGTTCACGTACACATATTTCATAGTTGAAACAAACTCACATTTACAGAAAGTTGCAAAGATAGTGTAAATAACCATTTTTCTGGGATAGAGTTATAAAGATGTCCCATCACACCTGAATTTTTTAGTGTATGTTTTCTGTAAGCAAGCACACTTCATAACTCAATACAGCCAAGGAAATAAGACTTCTATAAATATGTGTTTACATTTATATGTATATATTTTATATATGTATATATTATATATGAATATTATATATATATAAAATAGAAAAAAAATACCATGACTTCAACACCCATAAATAATTGATATTCCAGTCTAACGCTACAGAACTTGTAGTTTTTTTCTCTTTCCATGTTTGTGATTCTCGTCTACTACAGAAACCAGGCTATGATTATCACCAGTAGGTTTACTTTTTTGATCACTCAGCATGTATGGAACCAGTCTCTAGCCTCTCCCTGTGTAGATGCTGGTCTTGCTCAGACCACTTAATTATTTCTGGACTGAGTTATTATTTTTTATTTTATTTTTTCTGCTGGTTCTTTGATCTTGGTTGGACTGAATTATTTGGAAAAGGGAAAGAATTGTGAAACTTGTCACCTTACAAATACACGGGTATATAAAGCACTCCTTTGACAATAGTATTGAACAGTTGTTACCTCAGAGATTTGGTTTGGAGTAGGAGGCTTAAAGAGAAGAGAGAAGCATGCTTAAGTAAAAGAAGGAGTTGATTTTAGTTAGCATGACTGATTTTTTTTCCGTAAAGTAGGCTACTTTTTAAAAAATGATATGTAATTTACATACCATAAAGTTCACCATTTTAGATTGTACAATGCAGAGTTTTCAGTATATTAAAACTGTGCAACCATCATCACTAATTCTAGAACATTTTCATCACCCCCCAAAGAAACCCTCTTACACATTACCAGGCATTCCCCATTTTCCCCTCCTCATGTCCTCTGGCAAACACTGTCTATGGATTTGCCTATTTTGAAAATTTCATTTGAATGGAATTATGTAATAGGTGGCCTTTAGAATATGGCAGTGTACTTAGCATAAGGTTTTCATAGTTCATCCATGTTGTAGCATATCTTAGTACTTGATTCCTTTTTATTGCTGAATAATATTCTATTGTATGAATGTATCACATTTTATTTACTCATGTGTTGGTAGACATTTGGAATATTTCTACTATTTGGCGGTTATGAATAATGCTGCTCTAAAGGTAGGGCATGATGGTCTATAATCCCAGCACTTTGGGAGGCCGAGGTGGGTGGATCACTTGAGCCCAGGAGTTCGAGACCAGCCTGGGCAACATGGCAAAACCCTGTCTCTACAACATAACAAAAATTAGCCAGGTATGCTGTTGCATCCCTGTAGTTCCATCTACTTGGGAGGCTCAGGTGGGAGGATGCTTGTGCCAAACTTCCAGGGACGGCACCATTCTGCACTCCCACCAGTATTGTATGAGGGTTCCTGTTTCTCCACACCCTTGCCAACTTGTTAGTTCCCTTCTTTTTGGTCCAGCCATCCTAGTTGGTATGAAATGGTGTCTCATTGTGGTTTTGATTTGCGTTTTCCTAATGACTAACGATGTTGAGCATCTTTTCATGTGCTTATTTGCCATTTGGGTATCTTTTTTAGAAAAATGTCTATTCAGATCCTTTGCCTGTTTTTTAAAATGGTTATTTATTTGCCGTTTTGCTGTTGAGTTGTAAAAGTTCTTTATATTTTCTGGGTACTAAGCCCTTGTCAGATG